ATATACTTTGAACTCCCAATACCAAAGGCGGGACCAACATACCAGACCCAAACAAATTCAGTAATTAAGCTAATGGATGCCAAATTAGCCATACAGCTAACAGAACTACTCATGGAACAACTTAAACACTTAGTCTTTATGATTAAAAAGCTGCAGTTTCAACTAATAGAAAGGGACATGCCGAGTTGAAAGGCATCAAAGACACATACGGGCAAGTAATTCTAGAAAAACAAGATTAAAAGTGACAAGCTAAGGTATCAAAAACCACCAAACCACTACAAACAATGTTTCAAAATAGAACCAACTCAAAGAACTGCATATGATAGCCAAACAGAATCATACACAAGAAGAGGGTGGAGTACAATCTTCATATGAGGATTTTAACATGAAAGCTTTGCATAATAATCTTATTAATAGCATAATTTGGAAAATATTCTTAGTTGATCATGAGACTTAACATGATGGACACCAATTATAACACAAGGATTCTAAGAGCTCATAGTAGGTAAAAGAATATGTCAACCTTAGGCTAACAAGATATGTAGACATTAGAATTTATGGTAGGTGAAAGTATCAACCCTAGGTTAACAGGATAGGTAATTATCAAGCCTAGTGCCAATTAATCATATATAGGAAAAGGCTAAACATTGAAGTTTACACTAGAAAGCCCCTGGGAAACACTTAGAAACATAGAGTTTAGCAGATCACACAGTGGAATTACATAAAACATGGCATACTATTTTAGAGATTCAGGCAATGACGACATTCAGAAATTACTTGATCATTGAAGAAAATAACAAACTACACATGAGTGACTAAAGGAAACAGTGCATACGAACACATTCAGGGCAATGAGTTAGTTCCTCTCAAGGGTTTGGAATAAGGTGGGGAGATAGGCTTATAGCGGATAATATGCATAGGTACCAACAAATACACAGAATAGTAAGACATGCTTAAGAAATCCTGAATCCAGGTCACTAAACTAGGTAAGTCACAGTGTTAAGAAAAGTTCATAATCACAAACTAATCTTGAAGCAAATAGGGCTGTAAGCAGAGATAGCAGGGTAACACATTGGTTCACAAAAAAAATATGAAACTACAAAGGCCAAAGGACTTACCAGTTACTGATCGACAAACAAGTAGACAAGAAGAACAATTTCTGCAATATCTCAATCATTAGTATCAAGATGAGTAGTAGAACCCAGGAATGTCAGTGCGTTAGAGTTTCCAAGGGTTTTGAATGAACCCCGGGTAGTGCTCACATTGAGAAAGGTACAATAATTGAATTTCGGTGGCCTTGGCTTTCAGCCGGCCAATAGATTAAGCCTTAGAGTAGTATAAGACAAGTGAGAGTGAGAGAATAACAGTAGTTTCAGTGATCGTTAAGCCTTAGAAGGGAACGGGGAAATGGGGGTTTATATAGTAGTAAAGATCAACACACAAATAAGGAAATATAGTCAATCGAACAAAAATAAGGAAAGAGAAGCATGTAAAATCACTCAGAATCAATTTAGGAGAAAATTGGGTAAACCCTAGTTCAAAAGGAGAACACGAACGGTCAAAAATCTCACTGAATCAGACACATATGGCCTGGTAGTGAGTGTATACAGACGAAATATTGTCCATATTTCAAAAGGTGAAGTCGATTTCCTTTGATTCGGAGACTGGTATTTGCCAAAAATGGGGCAAGTACTAAGTAACACTATATTCTTGTAAGTAACAATGAGGTAACGCATAAAAGGTAAGTTTATCACAGAAGGAATCCATGATTTGATCGGATTTGGAGAAGATTGGGGGAGGCGACTAGGGTTTCTGAAGAGAGAAGAGGAGGATTTTGGGGCGCTATTTAGGATAAATGTCTATAGGGTTTAGGGGTGAAGGATATAAGGAGAAGGGCTGGTTTATTATGGACCATTGATCATTTAAGATCAACGGTCAGGATTGAATAGGAAACAGGGCAGGCCAAATGTATCGGGTCATTTGGTTGGGCTTCTAAGAGGTTAAATGGAATGCGCCAGATGCCTTGGGCCTGTTTTGGTCCGAAAATAGCCCTTCATTGGGCTATAAAATTAAATATGCGAAATTTGTTTAAAATAATTTATAAAAAGTAATTTATAAATAATAAAAATATTACTTATGCAGTAAAATGATTGAAAATAGTAGCTTAACATTATAAATATATATATATATATATATATATATATATATATATATATATATATATATATATATTTTNTTATATATATATATATATATATATATATATATATATATATATATATATATATATATAATGCTATTTTAGTATAAATAATGTAAATAATATAATTATGTATAGAATATAGGCTATTATTGCAAAATTATAAATGTAATTATATGAAATGAAGCAAAATATTATAAAACATACATTTGGGTGTAAATAATAAATTTGGAAGATTAACTCATCACAAAATAATTTGAAAGGATAATGAAATAATATTTGAACAATTTAAATGCAAGAAAATCGATTTTAAAGCCTTAAAAATTATAGAAAAGTATAGAAAATACTTATATGACTCTTGTAATAGGTGATGATGCAAAAATGATATTTTGAAAGTATATATGACATTTACAAAATATGAGGGCAGAATTGAGTGTCAACAGCTGCAGCTATTTACCCGGGAATGATGAATGAGTTGTCGGATCAAGAAAATGATGAGCAATTGTGTCTGAAATGAGTGAGGATGATGTTTTTTTGAAAAATATAGGGGCCGAACCCTGGTTCCTGAGTTGCCTACATATCCCTGGTGTTATGGGAATCAGGCCGTGTGTAGTTCTGGATCTAACGACGAACGAAACCGATGGAATTGTTGTAAGAGTGGTCGTGTGTTTCGAAAAGGATCTATTGGATAGGATAGTGTCGTGAGTAACGGATAATTTCATGTGGAGCTATGAATGCGAATTTGAATGTTACATATATTTGGGATAAGCGTTCGGCCGGTTACGGGACGAAGAGTAAACAATTGCTGATTATTGGTTACGTTTGAGATGATCAAAGGATGTAAACATTTGTGAACGGAAATCGGAGCGAGAATTGCTCTTGTTTGTAGAACGGTTACCTCCCGGGTGACCTGCAAAACCTGAAATATGATGCACGTGAATATATATAGGGTTATTGCGAAAATCTAAACATGATGTCAATTCCTTTCGGATCATGAGAGTTGTCTTCGGACGATGAGGATGATGTCCTTAGACCATGACGTCCTGGTCCATGAAGAGTATGATAAGGGATTCACATGCCATAGAATGGTTTCCTAGGGCCATGAGGATGGTGCCTCTAGACTATGACGCCTTTGAATAATGATATGCACTTTCGAGAGGGATCCTCAGGCCATGGCATGATGTCTTCGGGCAATGAGGATGATGCCTTCAGACTATGACGCCTTCGAACAAGTGGCGATATTCAGCCCATAAAATGCAAAGATGCGGTGATATCGATCATTTGATAGAGGGAATAGGTGGTGCTTAATCATATGCGAGAGCGAGACAAGGCAGTGCTTAGCCTTATATTAGTGATGGAGACATTGCTTAGTCTCATGCGATGTAATGAGGGCAGTGCTTTACCCTATGCAGAGAAAGGCATCGTTTAACCTTATGAAATAATGGAGGCAGTGCTTAGCATCATGCAATGTAATGAAGACATCATTTAGTGTCATGCAAAGAAAGGCAGCGTGTAGCCTTATGCAATAATAGAAGCAGTGCTTAGCCTCATGCAATGTAATGGAGACAGTGCTTAGTCTCATGCGAGGAAGGGCATCATTTGGCCTTATGCAATAGAAGAGGCAGTGCTTAGCCTCATGTAATGTAATGGAGACGGTGCTTAGTCTCATGCAAGAAAAGACAACATTTAGCCTTATGTAATAGAGGAGGCAGTGCTTAGCCTCATGCAATATAATGGAGGCAGTGTTTAGTCTCACGCAAAGTAAGGCAATGTTTAGCCTTATGCAATGATGAGGGCAGTGCTTAGACCTGTGCAGTGTAATGGAGACAATGTTTAGTCTCATGCAAAGGAAGGCATCGTTTAACCTTATGCAATAATGAGGGAAATGCTTAGCCCGATGAGTAGAAGGAACAATGAAATGTGAGAGGGAAAGTGATACTTAGCTTGACGCGTTTGCGCTTGGTGAATTCTGTCAGTGAAGATAGCATTCTTGTTATGTATTTGTGGGCATGCTTGTCATGTCCGTTATGCCAGCATCCAAAGAAAAATCGTGAGTTTTGGGGGGAAGGTTGGTCCGTGCCTTTGATTCTTCATTTTGCCTTTGCTCCTTATCTTGATGCCTTGTTCGAGTCACCATGGGTAACATCTGGCTATTACAGAAAATGAAATTTTCGAAAATATGTATTTGTGATAAATCATTTGTAAAAAATGCAGTTGTTCAAAATATGTGACGATGCATAAAACCAATAATTTTGTCGAATCGAAGACTGTGACATGCTTCGAGACATTGCAACCTACTCAACTCAGAATTTTGAGGACCCTCCTCAAAATTCTGCCCCAGTTTAAATACATACTTCCGGCAATACACTTCTTGGTGATCCTTGATGTAATGAAATTGACAAAATTTGAAATCTTGCACCGGTTCCTAACCGTAAAGGGGAATGAAGATATTATTATGATGTGACCGAACCCACAGGGCTGCCTACGTATCACCTCTTAAACGAGAATCAGGTCAAGCGTAGTTCAGGTTTCATCAAAAGAAAGTGCAAACATAATCTTAAACATAATATCTCTTGACTGCGTTCGAATTGATAGGTTTTGACCATATTTCTCAATCCATCTCTTCAAGTATAAGCGCACCTCCTGTCAGTATTCGGTGAACCATGTAAGGGCCTTTCTAGTTAGGTGAGAATTTCCTTTTTGCTTCATCCTGATGCTGGAAGATTCGTTTCAACACCAATTTCCCCGGTGTGAATTGCCTTGATCTAACCTTTTTGTTGAAAGCCCTTGCCATTCTATTCTAGTAGAGTTGACCGTGACACACTGCATTCATCCTCTTGCCGTCAATGAGATCCAGTTGCTCATACCGGCTCCGTATCCATTCCGCATCGTCGAGCTCGACTTCCTGTATGATCCTCAAGGAAGGAATCTCTACCTCGGCGCGTATAACAGCTTCGGTACCATCGACCAGGAATAGGGGTTTCCCTAGTTTACGTACGAACTGTGGTGCGGTACCTGAGCAAAGCAAATGGTAGCTTCTTATGCCATTGCTTGTAGTTGTCCACCATATTCCTTAATATCTTCTTGATGTTCTGTTGGTGGCTTCCACGGCTCCATTCATCTGTAGCCTGTATGCTGTAGAATTCCGGTGCTTGATCTTGATTGTTTCACACATGGCTTTCATCAGATAGCTGTTGAGATTGGAGGCGTTGTCGATAATGATTGACTCAGGTACTCCGAATCGACAAACAATACGATCTCGAACGAAATCTGCTACGACCTTCTTAGTCACAGCTTTATAGGAAGCGGCTTCTACCCATTTTGTGAAGTAATATATAGCCACCAAAATGAACCTGTGTCTGTTTGAAGTAGCGGGCTCAATTGGTCCAATGACATCCATGCACCAGGCAGAGAAAGGCAAGGGTGAACTTGTTGCTTTGAGTTTGTTGGGCAGCACCCGTATCATATCAGCATGTACCTAGCATTGGTGGTACTTTTGAACATATTTGATGCAGTCTATCTCCATAGTCATCCAGAAATACCCTGCCCTTAATACCTTCTTGGCCAAAATGAAACCCTTAATACCTTCTTGGCATCGACACATTGCAGCAATCCCAAATCAGGAGTCCTTCTATACAAAATTCCTCCGCTCTGAAAGATGGTTGGCCAATCTTCAAAGCGTGCGCTTCAGGGTTTGTATGGCATTTTATGGGTATTCTCCTTTCTCCAAATACTCCTTGATATCGTGGAACCCTAGATTTCCGTCAAACTCTTCTTCAACATGAGCACAATAAGCTGGTGTTGTTACCCAATTTTGCTCTCATATTTTATAAATACCATATATACTTTCAAATATCATTTTTTCTTCGTCACCAATTTACAAGAGTCATATAAGTATTTTTTATAATTTTCCATAATTTTTAAGGCTTTAAAATTGATTTTCTTGCATATAAATTGTTCACATATTTATTAATTACCCTTTCAAATTATTTTGTGATGACTTAATCATTCAAATTTATTATTTTACCCACATATATGTTTTATAACATTTTTACTTCATTTCATATAATTACATTTTTATTTTTGGGCTATCTGTATATTTTTGCAATAATAGCCTATATTTTATGTATAATTACATTTTTTACATCGTTATACTAAAACATCAAAGCTATTATTTTCAATTATTTTACCGCATAAGTAATATATTTTTATAATTTATAAATTACTTTTTATGAATTATTTTAAACAAATTTCGTATATTTAATTTTATAGCCCAAATTAGGCCAATTTTCGGACCCAAACTACCAGCCCAGACTTCAAAATCCCTGGTCCAATCCCCCAAGCCAAACCAAAAGAACCTTTTAATCCAACTCGGTCGCGACCTGCCAAACCAACCCGCCCGCTCAGTTTTTAATCCCGGCCGCTGATCTCTCAAGATCAACGACCCACAACTACTTACCAGTTTTATTACCCAATACCCTAATCCCTATTTCCCTGAGAGGGCCGCCTCTAAATTCTCTCCACTCTCCCTCTTTCTCTAAAGAACCCTAGCTGCCTCCCCCTAAAATCCCTCTTCTTATCCCGTTAATAATCGGATTCCTCCGTTATTTGCTTACCATATCTATGTTTCTCCGCTACTAGTCACGCATTTATGGTATTGCTTAGGTACTTGCCCAATTTTGGCAAGTACCATCTCCATATCGGACTAGAATCGACCTCAATCTTGGAGATTCGGACAATATTTCGTCCATATACATGAAGAAAGGCCTGATCTTTATACCATTTGGCTGATTTTAAGCATCGAACCCTAACTAGGGTTTGGAGTTTGATTTCTTTCCTTTCCGGTTACTTTACTGATTGCATGTGTATTTTTCTTCTTTCCTTGTTTATGTTTGCTTAATTTTCCTTCCTTGTATACTCGTTTGATTGAACTACTATATAAACCCCCTTCCTCGCTTCCCCTCTAAGTCTTAACAACTACTACGGTGACGACTACGACTACTACAAATACTGTTCTCCCACTCTCATTCATTCTATATTATTCTGAGATTTTGATTTTGGTCTGTTGAAAGCCAAGGCCACCGGATTCCGTTCATTAACCTCCTCTAGTGCAAGCACTGCTCGGAGCCCACTTTGAGGCTCTTGTGAACTCTGAAGCACTGGGGATTTGGGGTTTCATCGTTCTCTAGCAATCGCAACTATTCCTGAGATTTTGAGTTCTTCATTCTTTGTTTACTTTGTTTGCAACTGGTTAGTACCTTCTACTATCGTAATTTTACTTCCCTCTGATTGTGTTTGTGTTATGTGCATTCCTTTGGGTGTATATGTTATGCCACTTCAAGCCTGCTCTAATTCTAATTTTCGCATAGTTAGCTAAGTTGATTCATGACGTTTGCTTGGTTTGAAATTAAACATGATTGATGTTTATCACACTTTGTTTGGATCCCTAGGAAATTGTGGCATTGTTCGGAATTGTTTTCTTCCTGTTGAATCCCTTATGCATCACCTGCTCTTTTTGCTGCAAATTATGTGATGACACTGTCTAAGTGCTTACCCTAATATGTTCTTCCTTGACATTACTAGCTTTAATGCATGCCCATTGTAGATGTCCAACTTGACTGATTGCTTATCTTCACATTTAAGTATAATTGATTATTTATGACTGTTGCTTATCATGAATCCATGACTTAGAATCTCCTAAGGAACTAATGCATGCCCAGAACTTATTGGAATGTGTCTTTGCTAAGTCTTTCATGTACACCTTCTATTTCCGTGGAATCAACTTGTGATTATATGAATTCTATATGCCAATACTGTTACAATGCCAAGGCAGACTTGTTCTTTGCTTTGATGCTGTGTGCTCACTAATCATTTGAGACTCCTGGGGTGAATTCAAATACATGTCTAGTTTATTTCTTCTTATGTCAACTAAGACAAGTCCCCGCCCTCTTCATGTGATGCCTGCGTGCCTTATTTACCTGAAAGCCAGTTTCTTCTCACCTGCCACGAATGCTTACCTATTGGATTTAAAACCTTTGTATGGTGATTTGTATTTGCCTGACTATTTTACATGTTAGTTATTCTCATTAGGCTCTCATGTTAAAGATTCCATGCTAAGGCTGTATATCACATGTTCTTGTCTATGGCACCACTAGGTTTTCATGTTCAAACTCATATCTAAAGCTCTCTAAGATAGTCCTAGGCTAAGTTTTTTTAAAACCTTTTGAAATAATCTTGTTGCTCTTAAGTTCTGTTTCTGGAATGATAAGCATAAACTTGCCTCATATGTGTCTTGTATGTTTTTCCAATTTAAGCATGATCTTGCCTATATGTCTTGATTAGAATAGTTATTAGTTACAGCTTTAAGAGTAGTTCTGTTACCCCAATGGCTGAATTTAGCATTCCCTAGCTTAATCATTGGAATCGTTTGGTCCTGGTATGTTGGTCCTGCCTTTGGTATTGAGGGTTCGAAAGTAATGTCTGCACCTGGAGTTTGGGCCTGCTGTCTGTATGAAGTCCTAAGCCTATTTGAAGGCTTAGATGTATCACTGGGTTATTCCGTATTTGTATTTGGGCCTGTAATTGTTTAAAATGAGCTATAACAATTTGTAAATAAGTGATGGGGAGATTAGCAAAAAGGGGGCTGGGGTATTCCAATTCTCGCACGAACGGGTAGAAAACTTGCCTATAGAATTTAATTGCCTTGTTTGCTATTTGTTTGATGTGCTCCTATTCTACACACTCATAAAAATCATGCCTATAGGGATCTCACACACTTCACACTTTTACACTATTCAAAGCATGCTAGTATTTGCCATACCCGTTTCTATGTCTATAATTGTGCACACTTAGACAACATGCCTATAGGATACAATAACGTTGTTATGCTAATGCTCATCTAGATACCATATCTATAGGGTTTCAATTAAACAATCAATCAGCCACTTCTATTGCTTTTGGTACACTGCTCATCTAGATACCATATCTATAGGGTTTCAACTAAACAATCAATCAGCCACTGCTCATCTATATATCATGACTATAGGATCTTAATCAACTAATCAATTACTTTGTTGCTTCATTGTATCGCCACATACATGCCTACAGGGATCAAGTATTATAAAACAATTTCAATTGTCAACTGTTAGAAATCCTGCCTATAGGATACTGTTACTCGACTTAGACAACATGTCTATGAATCAAACATCGTTAACCCCGGGCTTTCGAACAGCCTTATTGCCTCATAGAGCGCACAATATAGATATCATGCCTATAGGTTTGTAATACCTTTTAATGTGCAAATTCATTAGTCTAACACTGCAATACTGTTTGTACGATATTGAAATCAGAATCACATAAAAACCATTCCTATAGGTGACTCTAATGCGTCCTAATTCTAAAACTGTCTATTGCCTAATATGCATGCGCGCATTTGTTGTTTATTTCTGGAGGTTAACTCGAGCCCTTTATTGATTTTATGTGAATTCCTATATGTTTTTAATGCGCACCTAGTGTTATCATTTTTGAGCACCCTAATTAGAGTCTAGAACCACCCCAAATAGTAGGTCCAAAGCCTCCTGGATCACAGACATGGGACGGGTAGTGCACACATCGGACACGACCTAGAATTGAATTAGAGTGCTTTTAGTTAAACATCTTTGACATAGTAATCGGGTAGCAGGAGATGATAGTCTGTGCCCGCTGAATAATATGAGCAACCCCTACCTTAAGGGAATTGTGAAGTATTATTTATGTTGCACTGGGTGATTAGGCTAAAAAACTTAGGACCCCCTTCCTTTATGTATGTTCATTGTTCACACTTAGTCACTAAATATAGATTAATTAACTTGTAACCTCTAAGGACTTGTATTGAATTTATATAGTCTAATTCTTGTAGGATTTTCTTCACACTTGTTTATATTTTAGTAGAACCTTTAAATTCCATGTTTTCCCTCACTCATATGATCACTTAGAACAATTGTAATCCGATAATTCCACATAGTTTAAGATTCGGCCGGGAACCACAGTTGTGGACCTCGAAGAGTGCCTAACACCTTCTGTTTGAGGTAATTTGAGCCCTTACCCAATCTTTGGTGACACAGACTAGTTAAGACAGAGTTATTTGCAAATAGGTGCCCTAACGCACCTTAAAAATAGTTAGGTGGCAACTCTCCTCTTTTAATACCCATTTAAAAGAGTTGTCACACGTTGAAACCCACTTTTGCGAGAAAAAGGGGTGCGACAGCTGGATCCTTACGAATCTTAATCGGGATAGGATAGATGCAATTCTTGTCTGGATGTTGTATCATGGAAGACAAGGTAGCCAATACATATGCGAACTCATTCTGAATCCTTGGAACATATTGAATTCTATCTTCATGAACCTCTTGATCAAATCTTGCATATAATGTAGGTATGGCAACATTTTAGTGTTCTTGGTAGCCCATTCTCCTAGTACTTGGTGTA